TCAAGCCTTGCCATGTTTCAACACAGAATGAAACATCTGTGCTTGTCTAATGAATCTCTTTGATAATTTACAGCATTCCAAGCATGAAATATACATATGAGAGACAGACAGACAGCATCCTCTCTCCCGCAAGAAAGTAAATAAGCCATAAAAGCTAGCCATCCTACTTACTTTCTCTGTAACTACAAAGGGTACAATTTTATTTTTCATCTGTTACCCTAGAAAACTTATTGGACTGAAGTCTAGGCTGCTTCCTTATGCCCTTTTAATAAAGCCAGCCACAGTAAAGAAAATCCAAATTAGCGGGAAGTGCAGAGCTCTTTGCCACTGGGATTCACAGCAGCCTTTGGACAAGCCATTATGGTTGTCTGGCTCTTCCCAATAACCACCACCCCCTTTCTCGCCTACCCCACACCACCCTCCAAGATCAAAAGAGGCACTTACGGTTTATAACATCCTGAGCAATCCAGGAATCTCCAAAGGCTTTTGTTGCCTTTCCCACCCCTCATTGTTTCTGATCCAAAAAATGTTTTTTAATGAGACAAGCCAGTCCTGACAGTCACACCCGTGAATCCGGCATGCCTCAAATGACAATCCTGAGATGCCTTGCAAGGAAAAAGGAGGGGGTTGCCTCCATCGAATATCAGAACAAGAGCCTGTGGTTCCCAGCCTGCTCACTACCAGAAACGGTGCGGTTGTGGGCTACAAAGGTAGCTTTGCTCCAGGTGGCAGCAACCACCGTCACCAAAGCAAAACAACAAACCTGGAAGTTCTTGCTGGACGTGGAGAGCATTCCAGGTGCCCGAAAACAAAGTCCTGCCTGTTTCATGTGCCTCATCCCCCTGCACCTCCCCTGCTGTCTCCCTGTCCTCCTCCAATCGCCTACATGTAATATCCTGGCTGGATCCACGTGTCCTCCAGCTGGGCCTTGGAGTTCAGCTTTCTCTTTGAAGTTTAAATACAAAGGCAGAAGTCCTATTTGTTTAATCATTCTTATTCTCACAGCTGACATATTCACTAATCTGGAACAAACTCAAATCCAGCAACTTCAGTGAACCCCAGCGCCAGAGCAAACAGACTAACCTACCTCCCTGTCTGTCCTCAACTCATCTGCTGGAACTTGCAGGCACTGCTGGCCAGCAACAAGCACCGCAGAAGACAGCAGGCCTAAATACACCAGTTTTATGGGAGCAGGTCTGGTGTTAAAACAAACCCTGAAGGGATCAGCGTCTCCCAACTCAGCCCTCAATCGGCTCTCCATACTCCAGCTGCGTGCAACGCCACCCAAGGGTGGATCCACCCTGAAGATGAAGGGTGTGCAGCTAAAACAAATACAAGGGCAGCCATGGTATTTTCTGAGATTTGAAATTCTCAGCAAGAGAAACTCCAACTAAACCCCAAGAAGACATTTCAGAACAAGCATCTCCAAGACATGGAGGGCACCTTCTGGCGGTAGATTATGGACCCATCAGTTACATCATAAGCACTCAGGTTCAATCTCACTTTAACTTCAAGAGGCAAAACTCCAGCTTTACTGAAGTCAAAGGTAAAAATTTCCTAGGGAGTTTTGAGGGAAATTACTCTTACCACAATGTTTACTGAATACCCCAGATTTCAAACAAAAGTATATTTCTACCTGCAAACCTATGTATCACTTTTAAATGACTCTCAGTTACTCAAAACCATATCCATCTTGGGAAATCAAACTATTATCCTAAATGAGACCTGCATTTTCCTGCCAAACGGAAAAAACTGACATGTTGACAGTGTCTGTTATGTTTCAGATCAATTGTTTTTCAACTGGTCCTCAGAGCTGGTTCTTACCCCTTTCTCAAGGGGATTTCACAGAAGGACAGGAAGAAATTATTTCTGAAGAAAAAAATTCTATTGCTAAATTGATAAAAATCAAATTAAGTACATGCAACAAAGTACCGTTTCTAATTATAAATAACTGATAGGACAAGAAACACACAAAATACAACCCATAATACTCACAACTGTCTACAAGAGATTCATTCTAGACCAAACACATACTCGCTGAAACCCAAGAGCAACTCTAAAACAAAAGTACTATTATCCCCATTTTACACAAGCAACTTGTGGCACAGCCTTGCTAAATGACTTGCACGTGGTCTTCCACAGAGAGCTGAGATTCAAACCCAGAGTGTCTGGGTAGCCATCCTCTTAACCAATTCATTTTGCTTTCAAAGTTCTGTTAAAAACAATAGCTGTGGGCCAGGTGCGGTGGCTGACATCTGTAATCCCAGCACTTTGGGGGACCGAGGCAGAAGGATCATTTGAGGTCAAGGGTTCAAGACCAGCCTTGTCAACATGGTGAAACCCCATCTCTACTAAAAATATAAACATTAGCTGAGCGTGGTGGTGAGCGACTGTAATTCCAGAAACCCGGGAGGCTGAGGCAGGATAATCACTTGAACCTGGGAGGCAGAGATTGCAGTGAGCCAAGATCGTATCACTGCACTCCTGTCTGGGTGACAGAGCCGAGAACCCCTATCCACCACCCAAAAAAAAGAAACAAAACAGAGAGAGAGAAAGAAAGAAAAACACAATAACTGACAGACTCCTTAAAGAGAATGGTGACATTCCAAAAGTTAACTAGACAGATAAATAGCTCACTCCTGAGTTTCTCTCCACCCTGCTCCCAACCCAACTGGCTTCCATCCACAATGAACACTAAAATACCTGGTATTTCTGTCATTTCATATCACTTGAAAAGGGGGAATAAATGTAGCTCCCCAGTTTATGGAAAAGACTGCCACTATTATTGGCAAAATGTCTTCACTTCTAGCATAAGAACTACTGTCCTCAGCAACAAATCTCACAATGATTAAAGACGTAATCTTCATTATGAAACACTCCTAACTGGCATCCTCTTCAAGGTAGCAACTGAATCTGAGATAGACGCACAGAATCTGGCCTGGCCCGGCGTGGTGGCTCACACCTATAATCCCAGCACTTTGGGAGGCCAAGGTGGCCACTTAAGGTCAGGGGTTTGAGACCTTGAGTTCAGGAGTTCATAAAACCCCGTCTCTACTAAAAAATATGCGTGCCTGTTTTCCCAGCTGTTCTGGAGGCTGAGGCAGGAGAATCGCTTGAACCTGGGAGGCAGAGGTTGCAGTGAGCTGAAACAGTGCCACTACACTCCAGCCTGAGAAACAGGCTGAGGCTCCATCTCAAAAAAAAAAAAAAAAAGAAGAAGCATAGAATCTGTATTTGACATATGTTTTCAAGCAAGCAGATCCCTTATTAGAATCAAAACCCAATCAAGTCCCACTTCAGTGGTACTTTCCGTATTAGTTGAGAAAATACTTAAGGCAACATTTGCGGGATTAAACAGGAAGCAGGACTCATGTAAACTGTGTTCTAATCCTGGTCCCAGTTTACGCCCTCAGTCGCTGGGAATCAATCTGAAGATAGAAATAATTCTGAAGACATCACTTACTTCTTTCATAAATTTAGAAGCCCTAGGAAACTCATTTCTGAAGTCAGTAATGACCACACTAAATGTGTGGACGGCACACTGGGCCCAGGTAGCACACACTCCAGGATTTGCTTCCTTTATTAATGCACTTCCCTAGTTCCACTAACAATTTTAATGAAACTCTCAAATTGAAAAAATTTAAGACAGAACTGGGCGAAACAACACTTACCTATTTCAGTAATTCAGGACAACCACAATATCTGGGGATTTGCAGCCTAAAAGTGACTTGAAGCAGCTGAAGATACTTCACTTATTTGACCATATCTAATCTCAATTATTAAGGTCACACTCTAGATACGCGACTACTCCTTTCTGAGTTAAAATGGCAGACTACACACTTGACCCTATGGTTTAGTAAGTGCTCTGTGATTCCCACATTAAAGATCAAAGCTACATGAGAGAGTCTAGAGCTCTCCAAGACAAGGCAACAGGTCACATAATCATTCCTACAATCTTGGAAAACCAGGTGGCACAGGTGGGCATCAACCTTGCTATACAAATGGGTTCAAGCAGCATTCTAAAGGGACACAGCTCTCTCTCTCATCATCCCTAGCCCTGTAGACTGCCTACTACCTGGCATCTGAAGGAAGTTGTGTGCAATAAAAGCACATCTAAACTCTTCTTTCTGGCAGAATCAATTCAATTTTTGGACAAGCATGCTGCTCTTCTATTTCCTTTTTTTAATATAGGTATTATGTAAAAACTATTTCTAAGGCAAATTCAAAACTTATTGCTGAAGATGCTATATATTCCTTGAAATTGCATAATCCAAATCTGATTTTCCAACAAATAAAAATATGGAATGCTTCACAAATTTCCGTGTCATCCTTGCATACAGGCCATGCTAATCTTCTCTGCATTGTTCCAATGTAAACACATATGCTGCTGAAAGGATCATTCTTCTATTTCCTCTAAAAGGCTTTCCTATAGTGGCAAGCCCGATCAAACACACCAGGCAAAGTATGTGCATATTTTTTGGTTTAAACCAAGCAGTCAGGAAACCGAGAGTAAGGAAAGCAATTTATAATAATTCACTAATTATTACTGTCCATTCGTTATAGTCCCCAAATCTTCCCCAACTTATAAGGTCCACCTCTGGCATCTATGTACCAGGGGTTGTCTGTGATACTGTACCAATCCAAACTTCCTCTCTCCTCTCACTCAAGAGGCCTCAGCTGCATCTCCAGGGTTCTGTCTCCTTCTACACACAAGCACCAAACTGTGATTGAACTATGTCTAATGTATGATTTGTAAGTAGCTCCCAATGTCATTTATTAAAACAAAGCCACCACAAGTCACAACTTGAATGACAGTAATTTCAAAATGTTATTTACTTATTATTCATTCTTTCAACCACATGCCAGGCACTGTTCCAGGTGCTTGAGGGAAATTTATGAGCCAGAAGATTCACCTCAAGAAAAAAAAGATTTTGGTTCTTCTGTGTTTTTTAATCATTATTACTTTATATTCTAGCAGAGAAAACCAAAATCATGTAAACAAATAAGGTATTTGAATTAGTGGCAAATGTTATAAATGAATGGGTAATCTGACAGAAATCAGAGCAGGAGAGCACAGGAGTGGGGGAAACGTGAGCCATGTAGGGAGCCATAGCAACCTGCAGAGTGGATCAAGACTAATTTGAAAACAGTCTCTTCCAGTCACCACCTGAGCACCTTAAGGCCACCCCTTGACCTTATCTATGAACAGCAGCACTGAATTCATGGCAACCCAGAATTAGAAGGACTCACCTCAGGACACTTGGGCCTTGGGTCCAGATGCAGTGTTTTCTCCCCAAATGAAGAGAGAAAAACAAAAGCAGCATCTCCATGAGGGCTTCTGGGCAGCATGGGCCAGCAGAGGCTATTTGGGGAGAGACAGGCCAAAGATAATTACCAACCTCTACTCTCCTAGGCCCAGAGGAGGGATACCCTGGCACTAGGACAACAGGTTTAGATGACAAACATATTTAAGATCAGAAAAAAATCTCCCCAAGTGAGAAGAAACTCATTTTCTAATAATTGGTTGTTAAAATGCAGTTAAGTCAACAAGTTTCTGTAGCATCAGTGAGAGAGTGTTTCCACCAAGGCTTCCTGTTCTTTTCCAGATTTGCAAGTCAACTAATGCCACAAGAAAAATACACTATTTCTGAGTCTGTACAGCATGCTGCAAATTCCACAGTGCTCACAAGGACGGCATGCTGCTGCGGCACCAACACCCTGCCCGCTTAGAGGTGAACACAGCTACCCTGGCTCAGCTCAGCATTGGCAGCAGACTTCCCAGAAAAGCTGGCACCCTTCACCAATAAATGGGAAGTCACCACTGAAGACGCACAAATGCAAGACCACGTCCCTCCTTTATACATCTAAAAACGAGATATTACAGTGTACACACTCAGGCACACACAGCAAATAGCATGGGACTTTCTCATACATGACAACCGACTGCTGTAAAGTATTCGAGATTTTCCTGTTTCCTTGGGCTACCACAGCTCCTTGCTATTCTAAGTCAGCATATTCTTTCTAACCATCATAAGGAGATCAGGAAGCAGAGGAGAAGTGCCCACTGCTTAACTCTAATGTACAAAAGGGCTTCTGCGGCAATCCATTAATAGCATTGAATTCTTTTCTAAGAAGATTGTTTAAAAATGATCAACATAAACCGAAAACTCCATAGACTTTACAGAAGGCACTATTCTGAAACTGGAGGCCGTAGCTTGGTTGATGGTTAAGATGCTGGACAGAGAACACCGGCATTTTGTCTGAACAACAAGGCCTGGGTCTATCAGTACGTTTGCTTGTTTTGTCCTCTAACAGGGTGGTGAGGAGTAACAATAAGGGCAGAATCTGGCCGGATCATCTCTCAGTTATTAGGTTATTTCAGTGTGTGTAAAAGAGAAGGTAGTTTTAATGTCCACTTGAGAAAAAGACAACAGGGAATAACAGAAGGACCAGGCCAGCCTTACAGGGAAGAAAAAGAGAAACAGAGACAATGAGCAAGTCACAAGAAGAGCACGGAAAGACAGAAAAGAGACTACTGAACCACAGCAGGAAGGAACAAACGATACCCACAGCCTGGATGAATCTCAAAACAAAGCGAAGGGATGTAGATACAGAAGTGTTTCCATCTACATGGCACCTACAACAGGAAATCTTCAGCGCGAGAAAGGAGGCCGGTGTTGTCATGGGGGCTCAGGGCAAGAGCACAAGGGAGTTTTCTTAGGTGACAGGAGGTGCACAGCTTGATGTGATGGTATTACCCAGGTGTGTACAGTTATCATAAGTTATCACAGCGTACACCTGAAACGGTTGCATGTGTAAATTTTACTTCAATAAGATTGGTTTTTTAAAAATCCAAACTGACGTACAAGTGTTTTCAGGTTTTTTTAATCCAGAACAGTAGGGGTGCATATGTAGAATGAGCTCTGAAAAGTTGTTAGGTTAAATTGATTTCTCCAGAAAATAGCCATCCAAACTAAATAAAAGTTAATGCCAAAAGCCATGCCTCTGGCAATACAATACAGGGACCTGGTCCAAATGTGGAAATCTTCCCCAAGTTTCATGTGGTTAAAAGTGACTTATTAAAAAACATTTTACAATACAAACTCCCTTTCAGGGCTTAGGGTATTAAGAGGAAAATAAAATTTTCAGAAAAATATTAACAGAAAAATAACCCAAAAGTCACCTTTTCTGCAAGCCGAATCAGACTGCCATCTGTGGCTTGTGTTAAGGAATTGCTTTTGTGTAGTGCAGAACTGCAGATCTAATATTCACCTAAGGGGGAGAAAAGGTTTGCTCACAAGACTTCAGACTTTTTCTGATGTGTAAGTGTACCAGATAGGCTCACCACGCTCATGACTGGCACAAGGAGATGTGAGGCTGGTGATGGGCACTGCCAGGGAGTTGCTGGATTAGGAGCGAGGATGACAGGAATCCTCTAAAATTCCAACTCCTACGGTCACAAGCCCCACTGATACGCCACGCAGAGAGGTCTCCGAGACGAACAGCTTGTTATAGAACTATTATAGCAACTGTGTCACTGAAAATATGCATGCTAGCCTTGGAACCAAAATACCCACATCCCAAAGGATGTGAAGTCCTCATATTCACTCTGTAAGTGTTCCCATTCCCACAAAGGGGCTGGGCGGGCAGCCGTGAGAAGACAACTCAGAGTATGAACAGGGTACAGAAAATTAGAACGAATTTCCAGAGTTGGAATCAGCCTGCAGCCCAAGACCAAAGTCAGCTCAGTTTCTGGCACAAAATTATTTACAAGTCATCCTGGCAGAAGTCATATCCAAGATTTCAAGACAATAATCTTGGTCTAAATCTCAACTTCCAGAACTGGGCCACCACATAGCCAAGGGGGATGGGTACTCTGCAGACTGAAATCCCATCTCCTGGAAGATCTCAAAACACTTAGGTCCATTCCATCTCTGCACCTGCAGAAGCTTATGTAGGAGAGGGCATTCCCTTCCCTCCAGGACTACCCAGTAAGAAATGCAGAGGGGAACACAGCCCAGAAACAGAAGGGAGGAGGCCAAGGCATTCATAGCCCAGCTTGTGCCATCTTAAGAATCCCTGCAGCAGAGTCCAGGGCCATCCTTGTTTAATTCAGCTGGCATTTTCCTATGTAAATCATCCTTTCTGTTTTGCTTAGAGTAACGTGGGACAGGGTCATCTATTAATGCTATCTACAAAGGGTAGGTTCAACAGACCAGTTTCACTGTGACTAGTCATTTGTAAAGAATACTGATTTTCTTAATTTTATTCCACGAAGAGCCTATGCAGGAAGCATCATTTTTTATACTGTTTCTTCTGCAGAGTTTTGATAAAAACTAATATTCATGTATTTTTACATAAATCACATGCTTGTTTTTGCTCTAACCAGTAGCAGGAGGCAAAGGCATTTGTGCAGCACCTCTGAAAATTAAATTACCTATCTAGAATTCATCTGCTTCATCAGAGACACCCAGCCCCAGCCCATCCAGCCAACCTGGGAAAGCCTCCCTGGCCTTAATCTCATTAAGAGTCCAAAATCCACAGCCTTAAACCAACAGAGCATTATCTTTTCCTGCTGGGTCCCTGAGTTTCTTCTTCAGAAGAGGTGGCTTTCTAGGTACCTTTTTTGTTTGTTTATTGCAGAGCAATACACATTTCCTGCAGAAAATATAGATAAGCCTTATTTCCTGAGCATCCATCCCTCTTTCATGCCACTTCTCATCTCTGGGCCTTCCACTTTCACTGTGGAACACACTGCTCACCAATCTCATCTGCACCTGGCTAATCCCTGTCCTTCAAGTCTGCTTTCACCCCTCACTGTGGATTAGTTGCCCCTCCCACCTGTGCCTACACCACCACTTCATTTGTCAAAGCATACATACATATATACACACACACACGTGTATATATTTATGTATGCTTTATAGATTACATGTGTACATATATTTACTAAAATTATTTACCAAGATAAAACAAAAAAATTAAACTGTACATACTGTTTTCTCACTTGCTTTTTTCACTTACTACTTTATGTCAGTCAACATTCTTGCTACCATATCATTTTAATGACTGCACAGAACAGATGTTCCATAATTTAACCAATCCCCCAATGGTTTCAATTTTTCACTGGTATACACAGTAAAATACTTATTATACATCCTTGTGGCCAAATTCCTAAAAGCAGAGTGGCTGAGTGAAACGGATGCAAAATATCACACTACTTCTACTGCATACCAGATGCTTAAAACATGGGATGTCAGTTTTTAAGGACACTATAGAATAATGAGGCACCTGAAACCTTCCTAAAAGAAATGACTGAGGGAACACAGGATTGTTAAGCCCAGAGAAGATGAACAATGAGTCTGTTGGGTGAGAAATACTGCTTAGTTCCTTCTGA